AAAAAAAAAAAAAAAAAAAACAGCAGAAGCTGTTAACAAAGTTAAGGTCATATCATGCTCATGGCTGGGAACAATCAACAGTGTTAAAATGTCTATACTGTCCAAACAGATTTATTGCAATCCACATTAAAACAGCAAAGTTATACTTTGAAGAACTTGAAGAAACATTTTTTCATTTCATGTGGAATCAGGAAAACCCCCAAATAGCCAATGCAATTCTAAGAAATAAAAACAAATCTGGAGGCATTATGTTACCAGACTTTAGGTTATATAACAAGTGATCAAAATAGGATGATATTGGCATAAAAATAAAAGGCATAGATCTATGGAACAGAATAGAGAACCTAGAGATGAAGTTAGCCTCATATTTCCATCTGATCTTTGAGAAACCAAACAAAAGTATACACTGGGGAAAAGAATCTCTATTCAATAATTGTTGTTAGGAGAACTGATTAGCCACAGAAGTAAAAGACTTAAACTATATTTGCACCTTTCAACACATACACAATTAATTCACACTGTAGAAAATATTTAAATCTAAGATACAAAAGTACAAAAACTCTGGAACACAGTGTGGGGAAAATTTTTAATGATAGTGGCCTGAGGAAAGACTTTATGAAGAATACCCCATTGCAAATTGCAGCAATAACACAAATAAATAAATGGGACCTGATCAAGCTTAAAAGCTTCTGCACAGCTAAGGACACAATAAATAAAGCAAACAGACAGCCTTCAGGATGAGAGAAGATACATGCTAGCATGCTGACAAAGGGCTAATAAGTAGAATCTACAAAGGACTCAAGGAATCAACAAGAAAAGATCAAACAACCCCATTAATCACTGGGTAAGTGAAATGATCAGATCTTTCTCCCAAGAAGACAAATGAATGGCCAACAAACACATGAAAACATGCTCATCATCCCCAATCATCTGAGAAATATACGTTAAAACAACTTTGGGTTATCACCTAATCCCAGTGAGAATAGTCTATATCCCAAAGTCCCAGAGCTGCAGATGCTGCTGAGGGTGCAGAGGAAAGGAAACAACTACACACCATTGGTGGGATTGCAAATGAATACAGCCTTTTGGAAAGAAGTATGGAGAATCCTCAAAAAACTAAAAGTAGACATTGCATTTGATCTCACTATCCCATTACTAGGTATCTACCTAGAAGGAAAAAAAATCATTTTACCATAACAATGTTTGCACTTGAATGTTTACAGCAGCTCAATTCATAATTACAAAGATGTGGAAACAAACCAGATGCTCATCAACCCATGAATGGATTAATGAACTGTGGTATAAGTATTGCATAGAATACTATTCAGCCACAAAAAATGAGATTTCACACCTTTTGTGTTTATGTGGATGGAGTTGAAGAAAATTCTCCTTCGTAAAGCATCCTCAGGAATGGAAAAATAAGCATCCCATGTACTCAATGCTAATTTTTTTTATTAACTCATAACTATTGTCATTGATGCATTTATGGGGTTCAGTGTACTGATTTGATATACAATGTGAAATGCTTACATTGAACTGACTAACATATCCATCCCCTTGCTTACTTATTTGTTGTGGTAAGACAATTATACTTTTTTCTTAATAGTTTTGAAATGTACCATTGCATTATGCACATTAAGTGAGGTCCCCCCAAATACCCTCCCTCTTCCCAGTCTGCCCTCTTCCCTCCCCTCTCTCTTCTTTTCCCTTCTTCTTTCTGGACTATAGTTATGGTTACCATTCATATGAATGTGTATATGGTTGTATATTGAATTCATAGTAATACTGAGTACATTGGATACTTTTTCCTCCATTATTGAGATACTTTACTATGAAGAATATGTTCCAGTTCCATCCAGGTAAACATAAAAGATGTGAAGTCTCCATCTTTTTTATGGCTGCATAGTATTCCATGGTGTACATATACCACACTTTGTTAATCCATTCATGGGTCAATGGGCTCTTGGGCTGTTTCCATGTCTTGGCAACTATGAATTGGACTGCAATAAACATTCTGGTGCAAATGTCTTTGTTGTAAAATGATTTTTGATCATCTAGGTATATACCTAGTAGAGGAATTGCAGGATGGAATGATAGGTCTACTTTTAGTTCCTTGATTGTTCTCCAAACTTCTTTCCAAAAAGGTCATATTAGCTTGCATTTCCACCAGCAGTGTAGAAGTGTTCCCTTCTCCACATGCACACTTGCAGTTCTGGGATTTTGCAGTAGCAGTTAATGGGCTACTCTTACTGGAGTTAGATGATATCCCAAAGTGGTTTTGATTTGCATTTCTCTGATGATTAAAGATGACGAGTATTTTTTTCATGTTTGTTTTTTGTGTGTCTGTCTTCTTCAGAGAAGTTTCTGTTCAACTCTCTTGCCCACATAGAAATGGGGTTATTTTTTCTGTTTATGCGGATGGAGTTGAAGAAAATTCTCTTTAGTAAAGTATCTCAGAAGTGGGAAAACAAGCATCCCATGTACTCAATACTAATTTTAAAGTAGATGAACAAACTACAGAACCACATGTAAGAAAAAACACAGTCAAGTTAAAGAAGGGAAGAGGGGATGAGGGGGAAGAGGTTTAGGAAGCTCCTATGCAGTGTGTACAGTGCAGGGGTATATGGCACCTCCTGAGTGAAGAGGCTCAAATACCACCCAGACTTTACCTGACAAATGCAAAGAATGTAACCTAATCATAGGTACCCTTTTATATAGAATCTGATTTGATGCTTGCAGGAGCCCTATGAGCACTGATAGATATTATCTCCATTTTTCATATGTGGGAACTTAAGGCTTAGACAATTTAGGAACCTGGTAAAGGTCATCCAGCCAGTAGAGGATGGGTCTAGAACTTGAACCCAGGCCTGTGTCATTGCAGAGTTCACACTTTGTGTTATGTGCTTCCAAGGGCTCTGTCTTGGTTCTCTAGGAGTCACTCAAGGGGTCAACATGTAGTCCCCTTGTAGCCACCATTCCTGAGCTCTTATATTAGTTTCATAGGACTGTCAAAACAGATATCACACACTGTATGGCTAAAACAATGGAAATGTACTGCCACACACTTCAGGAAGCTGAAAGCCCAAATCAAGGTGTTGGCAGGGCAGTGCTCCTTGAAGCCTGCAGGAGTATACCTACGTATATATTAACTCAGTGAACCATAACTAAATGCTATAGACGGGTTGGCTTAAGTGAGAGAAAGTTGTTTTCTCACAGTTCTGGAGGCTAGAAGATCAGGCCAACTCAATTTCTGGAGAGGTTTGCAGAAGGCTTCCTTCTGACCATGTGACCTCTCCTCAGTGTGTGTACATGGACAGAGTTCATTCACTTGGTCTTTGGAAACTCTCCCATAAGGACACTAGTCCTGTTGAATTGGGCCTCACACTTATGAGCTCATTTACTCTCACTTCATAAAGGCCTCATCTCCAAATACAGTGTTAAAGCTTCAACATGTGAACTTGTGGGGAAACACAAATATTGAGTTTGCAATAAGAGCAACCCTTCCTGGCCCCTTCTTGGTCTGGTGCTTGCTGGCTGCCTTCAGTGTCCCTTTTCTTGCACCTGTGTCAGTCCAGCCTCCCTCTTCACATGCATCCTCCCCATGTCTCTCTACAACAGCTTCTCTCTACGTAGGTCTGTGTGTAAATTTCCCCTTTTCATAAGGACACTGTCATATGTGAGTAGGGCTCAGCCTAATGACCTCATCTTAACATGACTCTATCTGAAAAGACTGTTTGCAAACAAGGCCGCCTTCTGAGGTGCCAGGTTTAGGGCTCTAACATGTCTTTTCTGAGGAACACAGTTCAATCCATTACAGCCCCCCAACCTGGCAAGAACATGTGCCCCTAACTGGGGGACCCTAGATTTTGGCAAATATGTCTGTAACCTCACTTCACAAGTATCCTGGGGAGCAATGCATTAGTGTCTTTTTCTCCTTTGTTAATAAATATTACCAGATGAATCTTAAATAAAATAAACCTTGAAAAAGTCCCCCCAAATTTTCTCAAGTAGTTATGAAAATGTAGTGTGCATGGGTCTCCTCTGTGGGGAGGAAGAACTAGACCTTGAGGACTTCACACAGGTAAAAGCGCCTCCTCACTTCAGCTGTGTTCTGTTCAGTAGAAGCAGGTCACTGGGAGCAGCCCGCACTCCAGGGGAGGGGTCACCCTCTGACATGCACATGAGGAGGGAGAGGCCTTTGGGAAACTCTTTAGAAGCCACTTCCTACATTTCTGCACTTAGCACATGCCAGGAACTGTGTCAGGTTCTCTTGACCTATGATCTCATTGAATTCATGCTATCATTTGGGGAGGGCAAGGAAACTGAAGATTAGGCAGTTTAAGTAACCTGCTTTATACTCCAGTAGAACCAGACTTGATTCCAGGATTGCTTCCAATTCGTTATATTAAGCTGCCTTCCTAGAAAGAAAAATTCTGGATGCATTTCATTAGAAAGAAAAGTTATGTGGTTCTCGTACTTGTTTTTGATGAGGAAACACTCCTGTTTGCTGTTTCCAAAGCCCCAGGTGTGTGCAGTGCTGTGGTCAAGAGTCCTGAGCCACATGGGCCTGGAGTCAAGGATTCTGGAGCTTACCCTCCTCTGGAGGGGATCCGAGGAGGTGCTGTCTTGTTTCATGTGACCAAGAAGCCAGGAGCAGCTCCAGAAGCTGACCTGGAGAAGGTGTTGTGGAACTTTGGCCCTGATTCAGGCTACATAAGAATATTAGAAGTCTCGAGGGACGACCAGTCTCCAAGGTGGGTCACCCATGAGGAGAAATTCACGCAGAGGGTCCAGGTGCTCAATATGACCTCCTTGAGGATTGAAAATCTGACCCTTGACCATAGTGGGCAGTACCGCGCTGATGTCACGTTAACTGGAGGAGCAGGATTTGCTCAGATTTTCCACCTAATGGTGTATGGTGAGTGATGGCCCTTCCCTCCATCCCAGGCCTTACCTCCTTAATTGGTCACATGTGCAGGATCCATTAAGACACAGACTTCGACTCCTGTTCCTCCTGAAAACAGGGCAAGTGAGGGCACCAGAGATGGAGAGCAGAGCTGAGATTCATACCACAGGGAAAATCACTTCAGTGTTTTGGGAGAGGAAATGGAAATTGGGTGAATAGCAATTTTCCCAGTAACATCAATCATCCTTTATATGAATAGTGTTCCTTAATTTGTGTATGAGTTTTCTATTATTGCCGGAACAAATTACTGTGGCTTAATTGGTGGCTTAACACAACAGAAATGTTCTGTTTCACCATTCTGGAGGTCTTAGGTGTGACACAGGTTTCACTGAGCTAGAATCAAAGTGTTGGCAGTCTGCATCATTTCTGGAGGCTCCAGGTGAGAGTCTATTTTTGGCTTTTTTCACCTGCTGGTAGCTGTCTGCTCCCTCAGCTGTGGCCACCTTCCCCCATCTTTAAAGCCAGGTGAGGTGGTTTGAGTCCTCACATTGCACCCCTCTTACCTCCTGTCCTTTCTTCATTCACTTTAAAGATCCTTGTGGTTACATTGGGCACATCAGGATAAATCAGTACAATTTCTGTATTTTGAAGGTTAGCTGAAGCTGATTGGTAGCTTATTTCTATCTGCTACCTAATTCCCCTTTCCACATAACCGAGCCTTCTCCCAAGTTCCCAGGACTAGCACATGGACATCTTTGGGGCCAGTATTCTGCCTTCCAAATTTGGGAGTCCACACATAATGAGTCCTCCCTGGCCCTCTCCTCTCAGCCCCAGCCCCTCATTCACACAGGACTCCTCTAACCCAGTTCTGAAAGCCTGGATAAGTGTAGAACATTTACACACAACACTTCTTAGGACACCTGTTTATCCAAGTCTTTCTTTCCCTAATGTTTCTCTCTGCATAGGGACATATTCTGCTATGGAGAGAGTGGTTTTCCAGTTTTAGGACCCGTATAACTTCTAAGACTGGCTTGTAAATCTGGCTTCTCCTCTTATCTGTACCACAAGCTCAGGGCATGTTCTCACCACCCGTGGAGATGTTGCTCCTGTTGCTTCCAGTGCCTCTCCGACAAATCTGTCTACTTTGGGGAGTATGGGGCTGTCTTTGGCCTGCTAGAGCTGGCCTGAAGTCCTGCCCACAGGCCTTTGCAGTCCCAGACCTCGTGTCATTTGGAGATGAGGAGACAGACCCAGGGGCAGAACAAGTCCTCTATCCCAGACTTCTTCCCCTTCTAGGAAAGACCCAAATTTATTAGAAATATTGGGACTTGAGTAGGTGGAGTTCAGCTTTTGTTTTTGTGGGGAGATTTTTAAAGACTTGTTCAATCTAGAAAAACCACATAGAGCTGAACTCAGAGGTTCCCCTTCTGCTTGTCATCAACTCAGTATTTAGCTTTAGGAAAACTGAGTTTTATTTGTAAAACACACCCACTATTCTTAGAGGGTGTCTGCCATGACTTCAGTGAGAAAATGAGGAGAGAGAAGAGTGTGTAGTATTTTCCACATGTGATGCTTCTTTCTTTTGTCCCCTCCTGACCCAGAGCCAGTGCCCCATCCCCACATCCAGGCTGGGTCACCATTCATCACATCAGACTGGTGCAATGTCACGCTGGAGTGCAATGTCACTGTGGAGAGCAGGACTTCTGGGACCACACAAAATCTGACTGTGACTTGGAAGAGCAGGGACCTGGAGCAGCGAGGGGCACCAGGGCCAGCCCTCAACTCCTGGACCCTGGCTGTGAGCCTGCCCCAAAGGCAGCCTAATGCCAGCTTTACCTGTGTGGTCAGCAACCCCGTGGACCAGAAGGCTGCCACCAAAGACCTTAGGGACATCTGTGCCCAAGGTTAGTGGGGAGGGGCATCCAGAGCTCTAGCAGCACTGGGGCCTGCGGTCTGGGCTTTTCTCTCTGCCACGTGCAGCACTGCTGTCCTCCTACTCTCAGAGTGACAGTTACTTTGCTTTTGACTGTCTCTCCCATCCATACCCTTTTCTCCCACCCAACCGCCATGTCCCTGCTGGTCCAGGTAGCAGCCTTCCTGCAGCTCTCCCACCCCATTTGTCCTCTACTGGATGTCCAGCGTGGGCTCTGGGGAGAGGAGGTGGGATTGTGTCATTGTGTCCTCTGTGGGAACTTGATCCCGACCCCCACCCTCAGTAAGGTTCAGAGGTTGGATATTACTTCGCCCACGTTGCTGGCTGCAGTTCCCTGAATGTGTCCTGCCATTGCAAGAGTCTGAGCTCTGGACATGCGTCCTCTACCATCAGCTTCCCAAGTCTCATGCCCTCCCTCTTCTGACTTCCTCTCACTGAAGGATCCCCGAGGGAGTCTTCATAGGGTGAAGACTAGTCAGTGGCGCAGGGCCCCTTGCCTAAAGGACTTGGCTTAAAGTCCTGCATTACTAAGTCTGCACTGGGTTCCAGCTTTCATTCTGTGTAGAGTTCTGCAAGTAAAGAGGCCCATCCTGTCCTTACGACTCCCCTAAGGGGGTGGTCCAGGGGCACCACACTGAGCAGTGATGATGTGCTCGTGTCCTGTCTTCTATGTAGACTGCACAGCCTTGAGACCAAGGCTTCAAGGCTGTCTTGTTTTTCTTTGAATCCCTTTGTCACACTAGCTTCTGGCAAAGTTTGCTCAAGTGTTCATGTAACAAGGGAATAATGGGGGCCCAGGGTGCAGCTCTGTCCTCTTAAACTTTCCTCCAGGAGCCACAGGAGGATCTGCTGTGTCAGTGTCGTGCCTAACTGCCTGTGACCTCAGGTTCTCTCCTGCCTTAATCTTGCTCATTCTTTGTTTGATAAAATTAGGTTCAGGTGGACGGGACATGGCTTGGCTGCGGCCAGGCATCATAGGGGCTACTGTGGTTTTGATGCTAATCCTGGGATTATACCTTTGGAAGACATGTGGGAAGAAGAGGAAGAAGAAGTTGGAACCAGGAAGAGGCAGGTTGCACTTCTTCCAGGCCCAGATACCTCCCATTGTCCACTAGAACCTCAGGTCCCTTCCTCCTGAATTTGGTTGCCAGGAGGGTCTTCCATAGAGGGAAAGTATGTGTTGCCATGGCCTTGGGGTTCATGGCAGTGGGGGCGGGGGGGACAGATCTGCAAGGCACAGATTTCAGTTTGGCCTCTGTATGACTCAGGTGCAGGATTGCAGGAGGAGCACAAGACTGAGGCTGGTGACATCCACTATGCAGACCTGATGGAGCAGGACCCTCAGGTGGGTATGAACAAGGTTGAGGCCACTGGCCATCCTGTGCACTCCTAGGACCCTCACTGCCCAGCTCTAGGCTTCTAAACTTAGACATCTACCACTTCTGTCCCCACTGCCTGTTCATCTATTTCTGGACAATCAACAGTATTTACTAACACAATTTGTAACTGGTGTTGATGTAATGCTGGGTGCTTTGGACAATTTCACAAGCACAGCAGGTCAGTGGGTGCTGGTTCCATAGTCCCTCTGGGCTGCTCCACCCTCAGCTGCTCCAGGGTCTCTCTGTCTTTCATTCCAGGGCATCAGTGAGGCCCAAGAAAAGGGGCCTCTCACTTCTGTTTATAGTGAGATCCGTAACCCAGGCCAGATCATCAAGAGGAATTAATTGGAGGAAGTGGGAGAATCCGGCACCACCAAGACACTTGTGCTCTGAGCCTGAAACCTGCAGACACCAGCCTCTCCCAGCTCCAGTCCAGCTCCAGGTGTCTCTGGTCTGCGTTCCCCTGACTTGGCAGCCACACGCTCTGTGGGTGCTACATTCTGTGACACCTCCTCAAATTGCCCTCACATTCAGGATCCTCACACCTGCTGGGCAAGGGCTCTTCGTCTATCCTTCACAAGGATCCTGCACTTGTCCAAAAACTTTCTCAAGGGGACCCTGTCTGATTGTGCAGGTGGCAAGTCCCTTCCACTTCTTTGTATCACTAGTGTGTGTAAGACCACAAACATGGGCCAGGTGCAGGGACTGTGCGGGGCAGTGGACTGTGCCATGGAGGAGGGAGTGAGGACCTGATTTCTGGGGACTGAGTTGGAGTCAAAAGTGGCAACATGGTGAGACCTCCGAGGGGCTATCCTGAGGCTTCCTTGCCTATGTGTGCTGAGCAGTCTGTGCATTTGGGGGACTGTCAGGGCATAGTCCACAGCTTTACACAAGGTGCCTTCATTTTTACCCAGGCTATCTTGGACCTAAGCTTCCGCCTTAGTCCATGGACCTGAACTTATCTTCCTGTGGAATTTCCATTCTCCCCAGGAATTTCCATTTCCCCAGCCTTCTGTTTCTCAGAGAATGAACGTAAGAGGCCAAAGTTGGAGGTTGTCTTAAGAGAAGCTCAGGTCTTCCCCTGGCCTGGGATGGGAGCACTTGGTGGTAAGAGTGATGCTCCGTGCTCCCCACCCTCCTTGGTGGGTGCTGCCTTGGGGTCTGACAGCCTAACTATCAGAAGGTCTGATAGCCGCATACCTGTTGTTCTGTTGTTCTGCCGGCTGCATTCCCTGTATCAACGTCTTCTTTTCTCCCTGCATCCCTGCACCTGAAATGACAGTTTCCTCTCCCTGTTCCTCACCCTCACCCCCTGCCCGTTGAAATGCTACTGTCCTGTCCAAAGTCCAAAGCCCCCTCCCAGGATACAGTTCAGTGGAAAGCTGTCCTCTAATACTGTGAGTGAAATGCTCACCACTCCAGTTTCCTCCTCTGAGACTAGTTTCCCTTTTGAAGTCACTCAAGGCAAATATGACTCTGTGTTCACTCAAAGGCACTTCAAGTAGGACTCGAGTAAAGCAGAAATGAGCATCCAAGCATCCATGTATGCCTGCTTTTATTCCCTTCTTAAAAGTCCCGATTTCTCCCTCCCTAGATCCCCGTCATGGTTTCCTAGGGCACAAATCCACTTTTACTGTCTCTGGATTTCCCAAGGAGCTGGGAAGGTTGGATATCACATTTCCTGGGAAGGGTGAGCACCCCACCTACCCTCAATCTTCTGGGAGATGAGTGTTCTCAGAACTAGAAACACAATATTGGCTGGTTGATTTCTTCAGTACCACAGATGTCTTGAAGGCCTTTGGTGGCAGTTTTCTGGTCCACATGGTAGCTGGCCCTGGGCCAGGGCCTGGTCCTGGCATCCTTCTTTGCCCCAAATCCCTAGGGAGGCCCCTGCTCTCCCAAGTTATAGTTAGGTCCCTTGTGATCCCTGAGGCCCTTCACTCCAAGGTGATGTTGCACCAGCCTGGTGTGATGGATGGTGCAGGGGCTCTGGTGTGGGGCAGGAGGGGACAGAAGAATTGTGACTGTATTTTCAGGGTAGCCTCTCCATTCATCACCTCAGTCGTCTCAGAGAACCCACGGGCGGGGTACCTCTCACCCAAAGAAAGGGGCTTGGAGAAGTGAAATGGTTTATCCTAAATCACATACTGAGAAAGGGCACAGAGCACGAGATTTAGAGAGGGGATGGCAGCTAGAGCCTCTCGGCTCCCTTCACCCCCTCCCCCTGTCCTCTGCACACATCATCGTATCCTTCACAACTTCACAGCACACAGAAGGGGAGAAGGAAATGTCTTGGGCAAATACCTACCACATGAAGAATTTACAAAGGAGTTTCTGAAAACACACTGTGACTCTTAAGCTCTCACCTATTCTGAAGGCACTGAAATGGTAGCATTTGAAGAAGAGCTGGAAGATGATTTTTGGGGGAGAGAGAGTTATGTTTTAAGTTGCCTTGCCACCCGCTGAGTGCCTGCCCCTCACCTTACCTTAATCCTGGTGACAGGGAGTGAGAGAGCCTCATGTGTGTCCCCTGCAGCCTGGGGATACACTGAATAGGTGTCTGATCTGCACCCAAGAAAGCCAAAAGAGGAGGTGCTGCGGAAACAGCCTGTGGTGGCAGAGTGGGGGCTGCCAGCAGGGAAGAAATTGCATCAGCACAGAAAAGCCAAATGAACATATTCTTTATGTAGGTGTAGGACCTTAAGAGAACTTTGTTGAGAGAGCCACATGGAGGAGGGATAGAACCCAACAGAAATGGACCAGCCAAGAACCAGGGCCAGAGAGAGAGTCATCAGTGGTCACCCTGAGAGTGCATTACCTGTGAGGAAGCAGGTGGCAGATCCCCAGCACAAAGACGGAGGATATCCAAGGAACCTGTGAAAATGCACCATGAGATAGAGAATCAGTCTAGACACTGTCAGGCCCAGAGAACCAACTGCTGGATGACCACGAGCCATCAGGAAGGCTGTCCTGTCTCCTCAGCCTCCGTCCTCTTTCCTGTTTCTCCTTCTTTCTCTATCCCTATGGAGTTGGGGGTGGCATTCCATTATTTTGCTCTTATCTATAATTAATAAAATCATTTAATAAAATATTGCTCTTGTCCTTTTTAGAAGGCAAGTATGAATGTTGATTTCTGTGTTTTCTGTGGGTTTCCAGCCTCTGGCTGAAGCAATGGCTGTCTGCACCGAGGTGTGGGAGGCTTGTGTGTGACAAGGACTGGCATGGAGAAGGTGCTTTGGGAACTTTCAGACACAATGGGGCCTGAACTGACTCAGGAAGCCCGTCTTCACAATCTGACCACCCAATAATACTCAGTGAAAGCGTGACCAAAATGTTCTGTGTAAATTTGCATCAACAAAACTTTAGTCACGGTGATGAGAGGGAACTCTGTGTTGAAGCAGTGAATAGAGCTGGAAGTTGTGGTGGCTCCAGGGGTCAGCACACCCAGACCTTGGGTCCTGTGTTCCGTGTCCCCATGTGAGGATGAGGGAAGCTGCATAAGCCAGATGAGGGGCTGGAGGAGGCACAGGAGGAGAACACTTCTGTCTTCTGGCCTGGGGAGTCACGGAGGGGCTGCTGTCTGTACCGCCCCACAAGTGTGACACAATCATGTGAGAAATTGGAATCCCAGTGTGTGCTGTGTGCACATGCACAGGCACGCATGTGTGAATTCACCACATGCTGGAACTCTGAGCCCAGAAACTACCTTAAGATAGGTGAAGGCTCAGTGCCCTGGTTGAGGAAACGGTGAGCTGGCCCAGCAGGAAGAATCCTTCAGCTCAGGACACATGTCAATTCTTGTAGAGGACAATTACTGCTGAATGTCGGGTGACAGTACAAAATGACCAACACTGTAGGAAATGTACCTCTCACTGAGAGTCAGCAGAGGCCATAAAAGGGCAGCTGGAGCCTGAGAACCACAGTTAACAGTAAACTGTGGAAAGAAACTTAGGAGAACTGCCCTCGTGCTCTTCAAAGAGCCAAAGGGAGGCATCAAGCCTGTGACACAGAAGCAAAACATTCTGGACAACGACCAGGTTGGGGAGGGGGGACAGTGAGAAGAAGTATTGAGCGAAAAAGTAGATTTAAGACATTGGCAAATCAAAACAATTTTAAATGTATTGATGATATATATGTGCATATAAACACACATGATCAGATATTTCAAACTTATCTGTAGTCCTGCCCCCTAGGGAGGTGGCTGTGAGAAACCCAGGGAACCTAACCTTGGAGCCTGGGCCTGTCTGCAGTGGACCTCTGCTGACTGAACATCACAGTAAGGGCTGCAGTAGGACTGGCCGCCTCCGGGAACCACAGGGCCAGGAGGTGCTCTCACCCTGGGGTGGAGGCCGGAGGCTTGGCTGGCCCCAGACTCCTACTCTAGACTTGGGCTGCCCACTTTCCCCAGGGGCCTCTTAATCCTTACCTATGTGCATTGTTTTCTGGGAAGCATTGACTGTGTTCGTTCTCCTCTTAGTCTATCACCCGGTCTAACTTTCTCAGCTCCTCATTTGACATTTGCTTTGCCTCCCCTGGGGCAATTCTCTACCTATACCAGATGTACTATAGCTGGAGTACATCCCGTGAACAGATAACATTTCATCCAGAGACAGAAATAATAAAGATGAGGATTCAGTAGATACAGCCACAGAAATATTAAATTTCTTACTGGCATAGATTGGTATGAAAAATGTTAAAAGCAAAAAAAAAAAAAATGTGTAGATGTTTGCCACGTTCCTGACGGCAGCCTGCTCCTCTGACTGTGCTGAGCTGCAGCCGTGAGCGTCATTCCCACGCTCTTACCTGAAGCTAATTTGGTTGTATTGTATGGTATATTTTCTAGATACTGCAGTTTATTTGTGGGTTCCGAGAGGTATGTATGGGTTTGGCCCTTATTCTTCTCTTGTTCTGTGTTTGTATCCTTTCTTCCACGCAGGAAGACCCTGAGCCCCAGGTTTGTGCTTAAGAAGGGGAAGGGGGTCCCAGAGATCTCAATTATATTAAATTATGCTGAGAGTGGCTAATTTTAAGTAAATTAAAATTAAGCATTCAGTTTCTTTGCTGGCGTGAATCACATTTTAAGCATATGTGTGGCTGGCAGCTACTGTATCCGGCAGCACAAATACACCACAATGATCACCATTGACAATTCCGGACAGTCTCTGTTAGATCATGCCACCGGGCAATGTTTTTCCCCTCTTTTTTCTAGCTTTAAACACTTTTTGAGTCTAGTAGAAAATACTCAACTTCAGAGTCAGAGAGGTCTGACTTGTGTTGTTGGCTTTGTATTTAAAATCTGCTTGGCTTTGAGCATATCCTTAGCTATAAAATTAGTTTGAATTGTGAAGTCTCTCCATGTCATTCTCTCTCCTTAAAATTTTCTTACAGAAATTAGCATACCTTATACAGTGTTCACAGTGGGCACTTAAGAAATGGTCACTGTGATCCTTTCTTTAATGAGCCAGTAAATATTTCTTTGGTAATGCTGTTCTTCTTTGGAGATTAGCTCCACTATAATTTTTAATGGTTGAAGCTATTTTAAAGCTTTAAGTGGCACTTCTTTTCTTTTAAAAATAATAATGGAGTACTATTTTAAAAAAATTACTGATAGTTCTTTTTTCTCTTTGACTTTTCTGAATATAAATACACACACACACACACACACACAAATTATTAGGAGACATAATTCTCACTTCCAGGGTAAAGTTCCAGTTGTAAAGAACCCCTCACCCGGGGTGTGTGTGTTATACACCCTCAAAATGTGCACAGTAGGTGAGATCCCGTCTCATGCCCTCCCTTCTTCTGCTAATCATCCTCCTCTTCCCTCCTCCCCCTTCCCCCATTCTAGACTGTATTTGTGTTTCATGGTTCATATGAGCATGTAATTATTTATACATTGCTTTCGTATTAGTATATGAGTACACTGGATATTTATTTTTCCGTTCTTGTGATACTTTACTAAGAAGAATGTGTTTAGGCTCCAGCCAGACACGTGGCTGAGGGAGATTGGGATTTTGTATAAAGAAATGGAATGAGGAAGAACAGAAATGCTCAGCTTCTGGCAGGCAAATAGGAAAACAGGAAGTTCTAGCCAGAATGTGTATGCACATGAGAAAGACAGGGGTCTGTGTTGGCCTCAGTTTGTCAGGGTACAGTGAAGAAGGAAAAGAAGGGGCGACAGCAGTGGAAAAATCCAGCTGGGGGGTGCTCACCCCTGGAAGACCTAGTCCATGTCCAAACAGGAAGGGCAGGCGGGGAGTGGGGGGTGTCACTTTCCATAGATGGTGAGGTGGAAAACTTGGGTAGAATGCTCTTTCTCTATTTAACCTGATGTGAGCCAGGAACTGCCCACTGTCCTCACGGGTCCGGTTCTCAACCCTCAGAGCTGTCATGTTGGGTCCTCTGCTTGAACTTTGTCCTGGAGGCTGACTTAATTGGAGAATGGGCCTCCCTCTGGATTCAAAACATGTCTGTGTAGCCTGACTCGGGGCCAAAGTCCCAGGAGAGCTTCTCCATCCAGCTCGGCTTCTGGAGT